TTGGAATTAGAAAACTAAAAGAGAAAAACACACTTGGCATTTCTCAAGATGATAGAACTAAAGAAAAACTTCAAGACCTGAGTTGTCATATTGAGGAATTCTGTGGCTAAAATGTTGAATGTTATAGGAAACATCAAAAGAAATGGACGGAATACAGAGTCACTGTACCAAAACGAATTGGTTGATGTTCAGCAATTTCAGAAGGTAGCATATAATTAAGAACCAACTGTACTGGGTGTGGGGTGGGGGATGGCAATACTAGAAGGGGAAGAGGAAAGGAAAAATAAGGTTGATGGTAGAATAGCTAGGCAGGTTTACATGGGCTAATTGGGGTAGAGGTAAATAATGATCTAAGCACAAACGTGCAACAACAGGGTTCATGGATACAAAGATTGAAACATGCTTTGAGTGGGGAAATGCTATTAAGATGCTTGGCTGTCTTTTGAATCTTGGTTTCCCTTACCTACTATTGTAAAATAGACACTTGAAGGGAAGAGAGAGGAATATCTAGAAACATTACCAGAGAAAGCTTGTAAGTCCGTCTTCAGCATGTAACTGTTTAGAGTAACTAAAATGGGGCTAGAACTTGCCCAGTGAAGGAGACTCCCTGCAGAGCCTTTGCATTGCACAAGACCATAGGTGGAATCCTGATCCTCATCCAGAATCTTCTGAGGTGGGACATTCCCACTTGAAAGGATAAGCAGACCAGTCTGGAGCAGCTAGAAGAACAGAAGGTACTTCTTGAAAGAAAGACCAGCAGAAAACAAGACAAAACAAAATAATAGCAATGCAATTGACTACTACAAGAACAAGCAGGTTGTTCCCTGGGGAGCCATCAAGGCAGGTTGTCAGATCCCCTAAGGGCAAACTCCTTCCAAGACTGAAACTCAAATGGAATACACTAGCAGGCATATGGTCCTGCTGCTGACCACATTGGTCACCAATAAGGGGAAGAGGGGGAAAAACAGCAATGAAGTTGTGAACCAAGTTTGACCACATTCAATAGACTCCTGTTAACCTGGATTGAGACCTGGTTAAACAGCAGTATGACGAGACCTGGGGACTCCTGGGCCCAGGGACAAGGAAATGGCCCCAGAGGACTAGAATGGAATGTAAAGCTCCAGCTGATGTAAAGTGAGGGAGGCAGTGCACAAGAACACCTATACTTGCAGATAGTACCCATTTGACCTGGCATCAATGGCTGGATGATCAGAACATGACTAGAGGAAGAAAGAAGAGTTAAAAAAAAAAAAAAAGGAGTAACCCACTATAAGTGGGTGATCTTGACTTATGCTTGTGGATGCAGTATGACAAAGGAGCAGATAAATCTCTACAGTGAGGAACATTCCCACCTCCTTGATACACAGGGTCGACAGGGAGGGGGAACTTTCACATTGGCTACCCAAAATGGGGGGGACTACAAAGGTAAGAAGTGACTGGCTTACAGACTTTCAATAGGGAACCTAGCTCCAGAGGATACAGGGGAAGGTAGAACCTCCACTCAGTTGTTTCCAGCTTGTCTGGATGGGATTGATAAAAGGTGAAGGGGAAAGGACTCCTGTGGTTCAATAGGGAATGATTGCTATCAGGTCTGACAGTGAGTGGTGGAAAAGTAAATGTAAATGTTTGGTAACAAAAGGAGGAGAGTGGCTGATCTTGCAGTCCAGGAGCGGAGGAGATCCCTGGAACCATCAAGGAAGAAAAGTGAAGTGTGAGACCGTGTCCAGAGAGGCAGTAACACTAGGGATGGGGGCAGAGGCAATGATGTGGACAGGAGAGGTTGGGAACTATGGACTCAGGGAGGGAGAGGGGTTGTGTGCTGGCAACCGGGGGGCAGGAGTGTGGGGTGTACCCTTTGGGTGTTTGATAATGCATGCAGGGGATTGTGATCATTGTAATGAAACAAAGTACGATGGGATGAATGTAAAGATAATGTTCACCCATGTAAACTAATACATAATTCACAATAAAAACTTAATTTAAAAAAATCCAGTGGAGCCTAGTTCTACCATGACTCACATGTGGTCATCATATGTCAGTGTTTTTTTTTTTTAAAAAAAGAACCAATTGTATTCAAGGAAGAAATTAAAGCTGTATCAAAGGCATTGGTGAAAAACCAGCTTCCAGGAATTGATGGAATACCAAGTGAAATGTTTCAACAAATGGATGCAGTGCTGGAAGTGCTCACTCGTCTTTGCCAAGAAATATGGAAGACAGCTAGCTAACTATCAAGCCAACTGGAAGAGATCCATATTTTGTGCCCATTCCAAGACAAAAGGTGATCCAACAGGATGTGGACATTATCGGACATCATTGATAACATACACAAGTAAAACTTTGCTGAAGATAATTTTGTTGCAGCAGTACATAGACAAGGAATTGCCAGAAACTCAAGCAGGATTCAGAAGAGGATGTGGAATGGGGAGCTCCAGCTGACATCAGCTGGATCTTGGCTAAAAGCAGAGAATATCAGAAAGATGTTTACCTGTGTTTTATTGACTACACAAAGATATCCAACTGCGTGGAACATAAGAAAATATGGATAGCACTGTGAAGAATGGGAAATCCTGAACATTTAATCATGCTTGCGTGAAACTTGTACATAGATCAAAAGGCAGTCATTTGAACAGAACAAGAGAATACTGTGTGGTTTAAATCAGGAAAGGTGTGTGTCAAGGTTATCTTTTCACCTTACGTATGCAAACTGTATGTTGTTGTTTTGCCATAGAATTGGTTCCGACTCATAGCGACCCTGCATAGGGTTTCCAAGGCTGTAAATCTTTACGGGAGCAGAAAGTCTCATCTTTCTCCCACGGAACAGCTGGTAGTTTTGAACTGCTGACCCTGAGGTTCGCAGCCCGATTCGTAACCACTACGCTACCACAGCTCCTTGAATATGGACTATATGAAGAAGAACCTGGCATCAGTATTGAGGGAAGACTCATTAACAACCTGCATTATACAGATGACACAACCTTTCTTACTGAAAGTGAAGCACTTAGATGAAAGAATATAGCCTTCAGGATGGATTGCACCTCAGCATGAAGAAAACAAAAATCCTCACCCCTAGATCATAAGCAACATCATGATAAACGGAGAAAAGATAGAAGTTGCCAAGGATTTCATTTCCCTTGTATTCACAATCAATGTTCAAGAAATCAAATGATGTATTACATTGGACAAATCTGCTGCAAAAGACCACTTTAAAAGTTCTTAAGAACAAAGATGTCACTTTGAATACTAGGGTGCATCTAACATAAGCCATGGTATTTTCAATGGGCTCATATTCGTGTGAAAGCTAGACTAAGAATAAGGAAGAATGGAGAATTATCCATTTGAATTATGGTGTTTGCAAATAATATTGAATATACCATGGACTGTTGGAAGAAGAAACAAATCTGTGTTAGAAAGAAATAAAGCAAGAGTGCTTCTTAGGAAGCAAGGATGTAGAGATTTTTGTCTCATATACTTTGGACTTGTCATCAGGAGGGACCATCCCTGGAAAAGCACCTCATGTTTGGTAAAGGAGAGGGTCAGCAACAAAGAGGAAGACTCTCAAGGAGGTAGATTGACACAGTGGCTGTAACAATGGGTTGAAACATAGCAACAGTTGTGAGGATGAAGCAGAACCAGGCAGTGTTTCATTCTGTTGTATATAGATAGAGTCACTATGAGTCAGAATTGATACTGTGGCACCTAACAGCAGTAACAGTCCTGATAGAGAGGAGCCTTGGTGACACAGTGGGTTAAACATTGGGATGGAAACTGAAAAGTGGGTGGTTTGAACCTACAAACTGCTCCATGGGAGAAAAATGAGAGCTAGTCTACTGCTGTACAGATTACAGCCGCAGTAACCCAATAGAACAGTTCTATTCTATCCTTGGGGGTTTCTATGAGTCAGAATCTACTTGATGACAGTAGGTAAGCCTGGCTGACCCCATTAAGAGATCATTTTATTAGCAACACAGAGTGGTTTTTTTGCTTTGGGGGTTGGTGAGAGATACATTTAAAACTGGTGCCTTTGAATATTGTGGACTTTCTATACCAGAAAAATACACATATTTATCACATTATACATTCACTCCCAGGAGTTTCATGAACCAAGCCCAAAGCTTCTGGAATGTCCCTAAGCCCTAACAGAGTAATTGGAATATCAGGCACAGAAACAAAAGGCCAACACTCTATCCCTTCTCTTTTTGTTTTTGTTAAGTGGCAACTTGGTTCTGACTCATAGCAACCCCTTCTGCATTGCAGAATGAAACATTGGCCAATCCTGAGCCATCCTCAGAATTGTTATGTTTGAGTCCACTGTTGATGCCACTGTATCAAGCCATCTTGTTGGGGGATTTCCTCTTTTTTACTGACCCTCCACTTTACCAAGAATGATATTCTTCTCTAGGAACTGTTCTCCTTCTCTTTCAATACCCTGCCTTTTACAATGAATCAAGAAAGGTGATGCCATTGGAAAGGAAGAGAAGTGATGAGTGTCAGAGAACAGATGTTGATGAGGCTCATAATATGGAGAAAATCTGAAAAAAAAAAAAAAAAAATTAAGAACTTGATAATGCTTTCCAAAAGCAAGAATGAAGATATTTGTTAATTTTTATTATAAATATTCTGCTATTTGGTGATTTATTGGGGAAGTGATGGAGAATAGGAACACTACTGTAATATTTAACACTTTTAAAGGTCTTGATGTGGCTTTGACAGGTATAGGTTAGGATGCCAAGAGTTATGGGACGTCACAGGGTATATTGCATCTGCTTGGCACATCTTCTTGGAACATCAGTGGCTGTAATACGACAGATAGTAGGACATTTATATTGAATTTTAGAATAAATCCAACCATTCCACTCAACTCAGTATTTGAGTGGGGAAGTTTTAACATATATGCCATTTTAATCATCTCTTTTTGTTTGTATTATGTTGCAAATATAATCTCTGTTATACAGTTCATTGACAAGTACTCTAAAATGCAGAAAATGTGTTGCTTCCTCTAGGCGGCATTCTTCCAGGCTCTTACCATTATCTGCATGTTACCAAGCCTGCTATTCCAACTCCCTTGGAGGTACAAATGGCTCAACCCGATTTTGTAAGTATTACTCTTAAATTTCATTTTACTTTAAAATGTAGCATTTTGTTTACAGCAGGGCTTCAAACAGGGCTTCAGTCTTGGCTGACAAAGCAACACCATGAGAGACTCGAATTTTTAAAGTATGGGTGAACCAGAATGCTAACTGGAATTGGAAAAATTACAGGTCAAAGCCCCACTAGAAACTTGATCTCCCTTGTAGGAAAAAAGGACAGCATGCACTTGCATAGCAACTAAATCTCTTGACCAGTTGAGTCAAAAACAATGGTGTCTCAAAGATGGCAGCCAACCATACTGCTTTGAATGTGTATTGCTTTCTACAGTTCTGTCAATGATGCAGTGTCTCACATCGGACTCCCAAAAGGCCTTACTATGCCTCTTCTAAGTCCTCCATTCCAGGACTTCAGCCATAATTTTTCCATTCCAGTTAGTGTTCTGAATCAGCCAACTTTTAAAAATTCAAGTCTTTTCTGGTTTCGTTTCATCAGCAATGACTGAAACAATTCAAACCTGTTTGAAGTCCTGGTTTATAGGTGGATGAAGTTCTTTATTCAGAGGCTTTAGTATAATGTGTTGGTTCATGGTTCAGGAAGACACTTTGGTAACAAACCCTCAAGGTGGCCTCTAATTGTTCTCCCCATCTGGGATTCATGGCCTAGTGTGATCTCTCCCCCCACTGAATACTGTTGACTTATATAGCCAGTAGCATATTGCAGAAACAACAATGTGACCTCCAAGGTTAGGTCACGAATGGTATTACAGCTCTCAACTTTCTCCCTCTTGGATCATTTGCTGCCAGAATTTGAGATAATTCAAGCAGCCATTTGGAGAAATGCATATAGTAAGGAATTATGACTTTCTGGAAACAATCATTATCAATTTGCCAGTCATGTGTGTGAGCCACCTTGGAAGTGGATCCCCAGCCACAGTCAAGCCTTCAAATGACTGCAGCCCCACCCCCTGACATCTAGACTATGAATTTATGAGAGACTTTGAGCCAGAACTCTGCATCTAAGGCAACCCTAATTCCTGAACCTCACAGACTGTTAGATTATGAAAGTTTATTGTTGTTTTGAGATGATTTGTGATACATCACTATATAAGATAGTTGCTTTTGTGGCAAGGGGACAGATAAATTGCTTAGAGTCTGAAATGGTCATCCATATTCTACTGTTTTCCTGCTCTCCCTGAATTTTACCTAAAGCACCATCCTGGAAAAGCTATGGGGGTGGACTTGGGTTAACAGCAACCAGAAAGGACACACATAGCTGGTCAGTTGGAAAGCTTCTCAAGTAAGATTCCCTGAGACAATGTTCCAAATTGATGTTTGTTGTCAACTGGGACTTTCCCGTTTGGTTCTCAATGACTCCTGAATACTTCAGAGGGTCAACAATATGACTTATTTAAAATAAAGACATTTCCTATGTGCCCTTGAAGTTAGCACTGGCCATATAGCACATTCTGGCCAATGACGAGATATATACATGTAGAAGTTTTTGGATGAAGTTCCAAGGAAATGTCTTAGAAGGGTACAGACTCAAATAGCACAGGTTACTGGCTCCTCCCTCTTAGCCCTCAGAAAATTGGAATCCTAGCTTTATCATTTAGTTTCCATATGACCTAGAGCAAATAATTTAGCTTTCTGTGCTTTTGGGATTATTAGAAATGAGATATGAAGATAAATATATATTTTATATATTATATATATAATAGCTACTGATTTGCAAGAATTAATAAATTACAGAATACACTGCCTATCTAAAATCTGTCCTTAAAGCAATTCAAAATTAAATGAAAAATTCAAGAAATCACTTATCATGTGCTAAAGATTTAGCTATAGAAAGAATTATAATAATTTGATCAAAGGTAATTTTAAATTGATTTTGACTAAGAAAATACTTATTTTAATAACAGAAAGTATGAACCTGTGATAATATGAATGTGTAAATGACGATATATTTTTTCTTACTGCTTTTTGTATGTAATAAGGAACAGATGAAGTTTTAGTTTTCATACATTTTCATTTTCTTCATGCTAAATGCATACATTACATTCATTCATTTAAATACTTTCCATTTTTAATACATTTATATGCAAACTTTGGAATAATAGTTCTCACTGATGAAGTTGGGTATAAAATGATTATTTTAATTAACATTTCAATGAGTAACTTCAGTGAAACTACCAAAGTTGTGCTGCAAATAGTGAAAAATTAAATTTAGTATAGAACTTTGAATATTTTGTTCCAGGAGTTATGTAGAGTAAACCATGATTTTCTGCAAAGAACTGCATGCTATTAGACCGTCACTCATTTGTCAATTTGTCCTACTGTGGTGACTTTTGTGTGGCTGTGATGCTGGAAGCTATGCCACTGACATTTTAAATACCAGCAGAGTCACCCATGGTAGACAGGATTTAGTAGAGCTTCCAGACAGACTAGGAAGGAGAGACTACTTCTGAATGTTTAGTCAATGAAAATAATATGAATAGCAGCAGAAATTGTCAAATGTAGTACTAGAAGAATTAAAAAAAATATATGAATAACATTAGAAGACTGCCAGATATAGTGCAAAAAAATGAGCTTCTTGGTTGGAAAGCACAAAAAATGCAACTGGGAAAGAGCTGGATCCTCAAAGTAGAGTTGACTGTGAGTACACAAATGGAGTAAAGTTTTCAGGACCTGCATTTGCTGATAGAGCACAACTGAAAATAAAGAGGCACAATATCAAGCATCCATAAATAATCAGAAAATTTTGTGATATTGCTCTTAGGAACAACAGAATAGATACTCAATCATATCATCTTTATACACAACAGAACAAAACACTGCCCAGTCCTGCGCCAAATTGACAACGGTTACTATGTTTGAGCCCATTGCTGCTGCCACTGTGCTGATACATTTCATTGGAGGTCTTCCTTTTTTTCTCCAGCCC